TTTTCTTTTTTTTTTTTTTGGGTTTTGTTTATCAACGCTGTAGAAGCTAAACTTAATTCGTCAAAATCAACAGAGTACACTACACAACTGTTTGGAAAGTGTTCTATTCTTTACCCAGACCATCATTCGGCCCGGTCCTGCTCGATCACAAGGGATCGATCGGCCAGCTGATCATCTGCTTTCCTGTTTGTCTTATGGAATAATCCACGGACAACGGCGAACATCCCCACAAAATTCAGCAACTGCAAGACATAACCGAGTTTAGACGGTCTATGGAAATGTTCTTTTCCAAATGAAATCTCTCAACGATGTAACTTGTGAACTGAACTAAATTAAGTTGTCATGCTTGTGTTTGATTTTAATAATCCCAATTGAATCCAGTTTGACAATTTTGATCACAAGAACCGGGATACCTTCTTTCCTCAAAAGAATGAGATGAATATAGGGTGAGAGAACTGCATACCTTGTACACATATTTAGCTGGACAACTCCCATTTCGGTTTCGGCGTTTCACTTGTACGGCGCAAATAGGATGGATGAATTATGGCCGCCAAACCCAAAGGAGTTAGACATTGCTACATTGATTTCCAATCTTTCTTTCTCTGGGCCCACAAGTATATTTGTGTCCTGCAGTAATTCATTGGCATGCAGTATATTAAGGATAAAAAAGATCGAACAGTTTGCATAATCATATGCAATAGATTAGTCAGATCATGAAATGTGAAACAGCGAAACGAGCAACATACCACGCCTTTATCTGGGTTTTCTAAGTTAATATTTGGATGGATCCATCCTGTTCTTATGGCCTGTACCAGGAAGTAGTCTTATGTCAGTAAGTTAACCAGGATTAACAAAATAAAAATGTAATTGGAAACAGTATATTTTAAGTAGCATGTAAAAACAGGAATGCATATCAGGAATGAACTCTTCAGCAGCCAACGCTTGATGAAACCAAATTTGAGAAGTTTTTATAATTCAGTTATAATCATCATGTTCAATAAACTTCACCTGTACAGTGGCAACAGCCTCAACAGCGCCAGCCGCCCCTAGTAGGTGTCCAACCATAGATTTTGTGGAGTTCACTCGTAACTGCAAAATCACTGACATGTCAAACATGCGGATACCTTAATGTTTTAGACAAGTTAAAAATATATTTTCAGGGTTAAATACCTCACGGTTCTTGCCAAAACAATGTATGAGAGCTTCATACTCTTTAACGTCTTCAGCTGGTGAAGATGTTGCATGTGCATTTACATAATTCACATCTTCCTTGGATATTCCAGACTGAGCTAATGCCTTCTCCATGCAGAGAATAATACCAGCCCCTGTTTAAGACGTCATATAAATCACAATAAAAGCTTTAGCCTGTGATATCGCCCAAAGTTGAAAAAAATTATGGCATTATATGGTATGATTCCCAACAGGTAACAATCTGCAAAGGTCGTATCCACACACAAATAGAAACATACAGACAGATGCACACATGACAAGAGGTGAAGGAAGCCTAAAGTATAAAAGAAGTGAAGATTCAATTAAGTGATTAACTCCACTCAAGTCTAAGCCACGTCCACGGATGGCTTAAAGTTAAGATCGTTTGGTAAAGAATTAACCCTGTTTCTTTATGCCAAATAAATTTACATCAGAACAAGTTAAGATGTCAGTCGATGGACTAAAATTGAAGAGTATAGCAGCAGTCACATAAAAATAAAGTTTTAATGCAACAAGTTATTGAATCAATAAATGCAACAGAGAAAAAATAGCATTGTGAGAGGAAAGGTGGGTATTAGTGTAAGTAGCCATAGCTTTAAACAAGATTTCACACGGAAACTCTAATTGAAAATAGCACAAAATTGGAGAGAAACATTGGAAGCTGGGAGAGTGATATTAACTGTGGCTTTGGACATGAACATAAAGGATCAAACCTTTGGACGAGAACAGAACTGGGCACAGGAGAGGAATGGAATGGGCTGGATGATCTAAATTGTTAAGCTTCGGAAATTCAAGTGGCTTCATTGGGGAGATGAGAAATCAGAGAGTCGCACTGAGATGTGAAATTCTAGAAGTGACCCACAAGGAGTCTATGTTGCGGCCTTGTGGGGTCAGAAATGCAGGGACTAATGGTAATTGGAAGGTGATGCAAAGACTTCCTTTCTTCACCATATGATGTCATCTAAAAGTTCAATTCTGAACTGCAGGATTCCTATAGTAATTGCCTTGTTGGCAAACCAGATATCCGTTTTGCAATTTTGAAGTATTTCAGTAAACTATAAAGGCTGATTCTTCTTCTGTTCATAAAGCTTAAACAATATTGAACCTCAGCTCAAGTGTACAATATTATCTAACATATTATGGCGTGTTTACAAGAGTGCTACACATGTCCACCAGTTATGGAGTGGGAGTGTAAGACGTGTCAACAAGGATACATTACCCAAACTTAAGTATCCCTGCTTCATTGCTCTCTAGTGGGGTGTTTGGATCGCGATATTAGTAAGTCAGGGTCTAATAAGCTTAAGATTGGGAAGCTCGGTATCGGATTATGCAAAGGAAGGTCTTATAAGAACTTAGGTTTGTATAATTTGTATTTGGTTTGTGTTGATAATTTGAAAAGGTTAGCATGCAATATGAAAGGTGAGTTTCATAGGCCTAAATCTACATAGCACATGGGATTAGCAAACATGTAGTAACTTAAGATGAACAAATTCATGTAACAAAAATTTTTTTTTTTTATAAGAATCCGAACTTTTCATTGAGAAGAATGAAAACCAAACAGAAATACGGGCATACAAAAACACAGCCCGGATAAAGGAAGCCAACCTAGAGAAAGGGCTTCCAATCCAAAAGAATATGACCTAGCTGATAATTATAGAATAATTTCGAAACAGACCCCCATAAAGAGACATTAAACCTAACGAGATCCCAAACAAACTCCCACTCCCTTTCCACTCCCCTAAAGATTCTATTGTTTCTTTCCCCCCAAATGCCCCACAGAATCCCAAAAAACCTGACCCGCCAAAGGAAACTCCCTTTCTCACGGAAGGGAGAATACAGCAAGACTTCATCCATCATCGACACCCAATCTCTATTATGAGCCCAAGCAATTTCAAATATCTCAAAGAACCGACCCCAAATATTTTGGGAAAACTAGCACTGCTATAAAATATGGTCAAGGTCCTCGGAATCTCGCTTACAAAGAACGCACCACTGCGGCCCCAAGTAAGAAGAAGAGTGCCTCTAAATACGATCCATGGTGTTGACCTTCCCAAGTAAGACCTGCCACACGAAAATTTTTATCTTCTTGGGGATCTTCACTTTCCACAGCGAGGTAAACATCGGGGCCGCCGGGGGAGTAGTAGGGGAGCATAAGAGTTTAAAGAATGAACTAGAAGAGAATCCCCTAGAAGGGTTAGGAGACCAAGCACGGAAGTCCTTCCTATCACAAGAGAGAGAAACTGTAGAGAGCAAGAGAATCAACTTAGACACTTCTCGAGACTCTATATCAATTAAGGATCGAGAGAGACCCAGAGATAAAGACAACCCATCCCCCTCATTCCCCAACACCGAGGCCATCGAGTGCAGCCTTTTGTCTGACAAATGAAAAATGCGAGGAAACAAAAGACAAAGAGGCTTTTCCCCCAACCACGTGTCTTCCCAAAAATAAGTATCATGACCATCCCCACTGAACAAGTTAGGAATTGAGAGAAAAAAGGGAAACCTGTGGAAATAGCCTTCCAAGAGTTTTTCGCACTAGCCTTTAGTCCTCTGCCAGCCACCCAATCGAAGGGATGAGGACCGTACTTACTCACAATGACCCTTCGCCACAAAGCATTAGGTTCGTGGAAGAAACACCACAACCATTTAGCCATAAGCGCGTCATTTCTGTTCCTCAAGTTCCCAATACCCAAACCTCCAGCCGCAGTCGGCTTGACAACTGTCTCCCAATTAACTGTGTGAGCCCCAACCCCCTCGTCCACCCCCTCCCACAAAAAATCTCATGATTTTTTCCAGGGTCTTACAAACCGCCACAAAATACATGTAACAAACATAGGCTTGATGGGTTACACAAAACTTGTGATGACACACCCCCTGGATGGAAAGACAGTGCTGAGTAGTCCTTTTGAATCTCTCTCTCCAGTCAAAATATCATCTGTAACGGCTTCCTTAAGGAAAACAAAAGATCTTTGGTTTGGGAAGGTCATTGTTAAGTCAAGTGGCCCTTGAATTGCATTGTCATACGGGGGATTTGACCAAGTACCAAACACCTTATGAAGTCAAGTGGTTACTATTTGCAATAATACCCTTGGCTGGTAAACTTCACCTATTTCAAGAGCTCCTTGGTTGCACCTATAAGTTTTTGAGAAGATAGCTGTACCTCTCAAGATTAAAAGAGCCCTAAAAACATTTTATCCTAGACTCTTTTGACTGCTTAGATACTAAATGGAATTTGGTAGTTGAGTGTTGGGTAGTAGAACTTCGAAGAATAAGTGAGGTTTTCTTTTCTATGACTCTTTCTTCTTCTTCTGCTTGATCAGAGATAAAATTTCATTGGTGGAATGAAATATACAAAAAGGACAAAGCCCATCCGGTCCAAGAGTTACAAAATGAATTAGAAGGTAACTGCAAAAGGAGGAAACAGAAACCACCAAATCTCAAATTTCAAGCTACTGCTCTGTAGAATATTCAGAAACTCTTCTTTCCAACCAAACCTCCCAAAAGAGAGCACATGACCCCTTGGAAACAAAGAATCTCAAAAATATTGAGCCAAAGCTTCATAGTGGACATGCAACCCCGAAATGTGTGGTTCAGTGTCTCCATACTTTCTTTGCACAAAACACACCAAGATGACGTAACCTCATTGGTAAAAATATTTCCAAGGCCTGACGGCCAAAAAAAGACCTTAAAGTTGTTTAGGGTATTTGGATTTCCAAATCAAGTTACAAAGCATGGTAGGAAGAGTGGCCTGTCCAGAAATGAGAGAGCCATAGGGGACTTTATAGAGAAACACCCAGAAGCTTCAATAAGCCATCTTCTTTTATCCACATCAAAGGATAGAGTCGGAAATCACCAATCCTCGAGAAAATTCACACAGTATTCCTCCTCTTAGCAGTGAAGACCCTTCTGAAGTGAAAAATCCAATAAATTCTATCATTAGATCATGAGACAATAAAACCATCTTGGCTTACGGTGCTGACCAGTCTGTCAAATTAACCAGCAAAAGATGCCTTCCCAAACCTCAGATGTCACTCACCGAGTTGATTTACTAAAGATGAAATACTTCAGCTTGGCTATAGAAAATCATGGGCTTTTCATAATGCATTGAGTGCACATACCAATGAACCAATCCATAGAATTCTTCCATACAATAATTAATTCTATGCTCAATGCGTTGGGTTCATTGAAAATCTCCATAGCCACTTGGAAAGGAGAACACTGTTCTTGAATTTTACATCTCCAACGCCTAAGCTTCCTTTATCCGAAGAAAGCATAGTAGTAATGCAACCTACCAAGTGCACACCACTATTCACAGCTGCCCTTTACTTTACCAGAAAAAATCTCTAATCAGCTTCTCCAACTTATTATCAATCAACAGTGGAGCCTTGAAAACAAAGAGAAAATAAGTCAAAAGATTTGCATTTCCATTTCATCCCTTGTTCGACTCAACCCTGCCTCAAGCACATTCTACACATCTAACTTCTTCTTAACAGAGCCTCTAATGGACTTCCCATTTTCTTATTAGCTACCATTATCTAGTGATCAGGTCCAACACCACTTGATATCAAGGTGAAATTATCATTAGGAAGAAAACAAACAATCAGAAAAGGGAAAATAGAGAAGAACCAGGGAGCTCCTCTATCTCTTCTTTGTCACCCTTTTCCAACTATGATCCAGGTTTGTATACAAAAATAAGAAACAATGAATCAAGGAATATTCCTCCCCCAGTAATCATCTCTCTCTAAGTATCGCTGATAAAATATCCCAAATTCAAACATTTACACCCAAAAGACAATGCAGAGAAACTGTTAATAAATCCACAGAAAAAGTTGTCAAGTTCTATGAAAGATGACCTTACAGACTTAGTAGAGGAAAACTGAGACCAAAGGCGAAGGAAACCAAACAAACCACCCCAGGAATCAACAAAATGAAATGGCAGTCACTAATTTACGAGATGAACAACCACTCTTTGGACACTCAAGGGAGGTGTCCAAATTCACTGCAACTATAGCAGTCTCCACTGTCGCTGCCATACCTATCTCCACCACCTTACTCTGGTAGCATCAATTTAAAGCAAGCACCACAACTAAATGTAATGATTAATGATTATCCAATCTATTACTCATTGGTCCCTAATAAAATAAATATTTCGATGACTGCTCTTAAGAAATATGGTACAGGCAATTTCTCATTATCAATATTTAGTTTAAATTTATACAATGTATTCAATATATCAAATAACTCAAAATTTATTTCTGTCTATCATAATTTAAAAAGTTGATGAAATAATTTTATAAGAAATAAAGGAGTTATATCTTAAACATATTTTTATTCTCTTTGCGATTGAAGTAAAGTAAAATAAATAAATAAACTTTTTTTTTTTTGATAAAAAAAATCCCCCAAATTAATTTGAAGTAGTTACAAATTTATTATACCTAATTATGATTTTTAAATCATATAAATTTTAATTAACTATGAAGCTAAGGATCTACTTTAGAATTAAAGCCGTCAAATAATTGATTTAAACATCACCTTCAATTTGAAATTATTAAAGACAACCATGCATGCTCCTTCATAGATTCTAACAATTTTTCAGAAAATTGTACCAGTTGGGGAGAAAAATCAAGATCCTTAACATATTGCAAATCCATAATTTGTTATAATAATCCAATTAATTTATCAGCTGATGACAGAGGGTTACCATCAGGGTGTGGTTCAGTCATGTGATAAGCATCACAAGTGAAACTTCCACCAAGAAATTCTGCATATATTTGGGCACCTCGTTTCTGCAATTGTAGAATCATGAAATAGCAAATTATATCTACAGATACGTACAACAAATAGATGCATAAAGTTCAGCAACATTATAAAACATTATGAATGAGATAGTGTTGGAACATAATATGGTGCAAAGATGATAAATGCTGCAAAGCATAGGGCAGGAGGGTGCTCCAGTGTAACAGGTGAATTTGTACTTCATAGAATTGAAGGCTGAGGGGAAAATATTCATTTGAAATGGTAGTTATAAACAATTACATTAACCACACCTTAGCATGCTCTAATTCTTCAAGAAGCAAAACTCCAGCTCCCTCCCCCATAACAAATCCATCACGATTCTGTTGAAAACAAAGATGTTAACCATCACAATGGAAAGAATAAGTACACCAGGTTGAAGATTTTAAATATTACCTATTGGTGACTTTAGTTCAAACACATTTTCAAGCAAGAAAGTTCAAATGGTGCATAAACGACATATAGAAACACGACTAACACAATTGGTCATACTTTCCTATCAAGAAAAATTGAATCCTGAATTTTTTTTTCCTTTTTATAAGAGAATCCTGATTTTTTCTTTAATAAGAGAATTTTTTATAAATAAAGTATTTCTTTTAATAAGAGAATCCTACAATTATTTATTCCACCACTTTGCAAGTTAAAAGCCATAAATAAGTCTTTTTTATAAGAAAATTAACCCATGATTTAGATATCTCATCTTCATGGTCTATACCTATATTTAGTCCTGACTAAAGTTTTTGTTTACTGAAAAACTATGATTCACACAATCAGAAAAAATTTATATATATTTTATAAAAAAAAAAAAAAGAAGCTGACATTACAATATCCCAAGGCCGTGAAGCTTTAGTAGGATTGCTGTTTCTTTGTGAAAGCGTGTTGCAAGCAACAAAACCTCCCAAACCTAGCAACAGTAAAATAAAATACATCTACTTCAAATATCTTAGGCAAAAATAATTAGGACTAAAGTAACATAATAAATAGAAGAAATACCAATGGGTATGATTGCTGCATCTGAACCTCCGCTGAGCATTACATCCTGCACATAAATAGTCAGAAACTAAAGCAACAATTCTGACATTTTGATTTTTTTCCTTTTCTACATTACTTTAAAAAATAAAAATAATAAAGTAATAAAAACACTAAGCCAGTGCCACCATTTAAGCTTCATCACAAAATTATGTATTATAATATTATTCATACATAATCCTACAAGGTTTTAGGGTTCATGATTTATCTACCAAAAAGATGGCCCCTATCAAGGACTTTTGGATGGCAGAAGCAAAATTGTGGAATCTCTGGCTGAGAAGGAACTTAAAAAACTTTGACATTGTGGACTGGATTGATATCACTAATCGACTAGCTTCAACTGTCCTTAACACATCACCAGACACTCCCCTTTGGAAGCTCGACCCAAATGGTACTTTCTCCACTTCCTCTGTCCAAAAAGCTCTATCTATGAGAACACAAATCCCCACCCCTGTCCTCAATTATGAGGTTATTTGGAAGGACCACTACCCAAAAAAGTCAAATTCTTCCTATGGGAAGTTAGCAAAAAATCCTTCAACACTACAGATAAGCTTTAGAGACGGACGCCTCACTGGTGTATGTATCTCTCCACATTGGTGCCCCATGTCCGGCCCTGATTCACAACAGCATCTCTTTTCCACACCCATACGGTCTCTTTCTGGAATTGTCTACTCAGCACCTTTAATTGGTCTACGGCTCTCCCTACCAACCCTAAAGCTCTGCTCCACTTTGTTCTTGAAGGCCACCCTTTTGGAAAAGAAAAGAAGCTTCTTTGGATGCATTTTGTTCATGTTTTCTTTTGGAACACTTGGCTAGAGAGGAACCATAGAATCTTTAAAGACAAGGAGTGCTCCTTCCCTGCCTTTTCTGATGACATAGTTGTGCTTGTTATATCATGGTGTAAATGCTCTCACCATCATTATAGTTTTTCCAACCTATTAGCCACTTGAAAACTTATTTTTTAACTCCATTGGTTGGGGCTTCTTCTTCTCTTGTAATTTCATACCATCAATGAAATTGTTTCTTATTAAAAAAAAATAATATGTATATATATATATAATATATATAATATATATACAAGGACAGTTTTTTTTTTTTTTGGATAGGATACAACAAGGACAGAGTGATTTCTTATTAAAAAAAATAATACGTATATATATATATATACAAGGACAGTTTTCTTTTTGGATAGGATACAACAAGGACAGAGTGAAGACGCACAAGGAACATTTCAGTTGACTTGAGGATCAATGTCGAGAAAATAGGGTGTGTTTATGGGATTTTTTTTCTTTTATAAGAAACCAAACTTTTCATTGAGACTAATGAAAACAGAAAACATATACAAGGGCACAAAAAACAAAAGCCCTAAAGGAGGAGCCCTACCTAAAGAAAGGGTTTCCAATCCAAAAGAATAGAACCTAAGAATAGAACCTAACTGATAATTACAAAACAACTTAGATGCCAAACATACTATCTCTCTCCACCCCCTGAAGATCTTGTTATGAAACACTTTCCTAGTAAGCACTTCTTTTTTTTCGGTAAGAAAAAATTTCATTGAGGAGTGAAATTACAAAGGAGGGGGAGGCAGGGCCCAAGAACCAATGGAGTTACATGAAACTTCTCCAATTGGTCAAAAGTAGAAATGTCAATTGTCAAACCACTTATTTCCTTTACTTGTATAGGAGGAGAATGAATAATAGCAATGTAGTGCAGATTCTGCTGCGTAAGGGCTGTTATGGATACAAGGAAACGGTACTCTTTGTTTACAAATAGATGGAAAAAGACAAACAAGAGGTAGTTAGTATAGGGCTAGAGAAAGGGAGGCAAGAGAGGAAAAGGGTGTGCTGTGTATTTGGTGGAACTGTGGTGCATCTCTAGAGTTCTGCAGAGTTTCCACCCTCTCGAGAGCCCAGTATTGTGTAATCTCCCATATTTTCCAAAAATATTCTAATGAAATTTCTATTTGGAGCCTTGTGAAGGCAGCCCATTGAGATTTTAATTTTTTGTTTCGTATTTCATGTACAAGTGTCACTGTGAGCTGGCATTATTTTGTTACTCTGTTGAGTTTAGTTGAATTGTTTGATTCAGTTGTATTAACATTTCAGAGATAGGGAATCTATACAAAGCCTCTCACCCTTGATCACTTTTATCTTTGAATAATAAAATATTTTGTGATCAATCTCTGGAAAATCTTGTGAAGCCTATCAGCTTGGTTCCTCCAAAGCACTTTTTAAGTGTTTTTGAAAAATTTCAAAAATACTATCGACATGTAGTTGAACTTCACAGGAAAAATATATTGAAAAAAGTTTTTAATGAATTGAAAGCACTGTTAGGATGTTGAAAAACTATCACAAACACACTAATAGACAAGTCATATACCAATAGATAGAAAAAAGGAGGTGGAAACTAGAGTAATTCATTCTTTAGTTTCTGAGCAAGTGATGACTTACAGCTTCGCCCCTAATTATATGATTAGCTGCATTTAGTATACAAAAGTTGCTCGTAGCACAAGCAGTAGAAATTGAATAGTTTGGGCCCATCCATCCCTACATTTTTACAAAAATTATTGAACTCTAATGTCAAGAAATCAATAGCTCCAATACGTTAAAGAGTTTTTTTTTTTAAAATCTACTATGACAATAAAAGGATTCACTGACCAGATCCATAGCTAGCATGGCAGAACCCATATTTGTCGTTGCAAATGGAACACAGAAAGGATTCATCTTCTTATATGAAATTCGCAAGGCTTCAATAGCATCATTAAATACCTATTCAATATAAGTTTATGGAAAAAGTTCTGATAAGTAAGAATAATAACAATTAATTAACAAAAACAATGAAGCTGCTTTTTTGTCCCAAACTAGTAAAGATCATATGGCTATCCTGCAGGTCTTGCAATAAAGAATCTCTACAAGGATTAAGATACCGATACTTCCAAGTCACAGTTTTAAGGCAAGTAATCTCTTTCCCATGTAAATAAAGTAGGTAAAATCACATCTTGGTTAAATTTTCCCCTCCAAAGCACTCCCCTGTCCTCAAGCATATAATTAGGGGTTACCTTCATGCCTCCCATAGCTGAACCAATCAGTACTCCACATTTAGTTTTATCCAACTCATCTATTTGGTCGTTTGTAAGTCCACCGTCCTCTAGGGCTTTTTTGCCAGCAATAAGCATGTAAAGCATAAATTTATCCATCCGCTTGGAAAATTTTGGAGCAACCCATCCATCAGTAGAGAAAGTCTTAATCTCTCCAGCAATCCTCTGAAGAATAAACGAACCAGAATTCAGAACAAAAAATAAGCAACATTGGTTTCAGGAATTTTTATAGGGGAAGGTATATTTACTGTGGGGAATTGGGAACAATCAAATGCCTCTATATCGCTAATTCCACTGACACCCTCGAGCAAATTTCTGTAGAAGATGTCAAGATCATGACCTAGAGGTGTCACCACACCCATTCCAGTGACAACTACTCTTCTTTGTTTTGTATGGTGTTTCTTTTTGGTTCCCACATCTTCAGCTGGATGGACAGCAATAGCAACGGTTTCACCTGGAGTTTAAATAAAACGACAATATGGTAGTCTGGTTCAGCAATTTTTTTTTTGTTTTTTCACAGAATATCCACACAGCCCTGTTTCTACTAAGTAAAGTTTTTTGGGTTCAACAAACCCAGAATCCAAAAGGGAAAAAAAAAATCAAACTATAAACAGAACTCACACCAACTTTTTAGGACCATCAAAACTTCAAACTTTCAGGATGAATAAAAAACAACAAGTTTCAGTATATTGATGATTGATTTACAAAATCCAGAATTAGCTAATGACTAAGCTGAGTTTGATAAGATTGTTTATGTTGAAGACAGAGAATATGTATACTGGTCACCCAACGCAAAAGAATATAGGTTTTGGGTTTGAGAAGAGTTGGTAGACATGATTGAGGCAACTTAAATATATTAAAAGTCAGGTTTGAGAACTGCAAGTCAAAATGCTGTAATCCCATTAAAGACAATGACAAATGACATAAACCAGGATCGCAGGTGGTATGAGAGAAAGATGAGATTGCATGGCAATGAGATAAACGAGATCTCATCTCAGCAGGTTGTTACTGTAAACTAAAAAATAACACAGGTTACAGCGCCGGAACGCAATTAATAGATTCAGCGGTGGTGGAAAAACATTAATGCAACTTATTCGATCCACCGTTGAAGTCAAGGCAGACAAGAAAAAAGATCAGAATCTGAATCATGCCAAAAGAAATTACAAGGAACTCGAGGACTCCAGATTCATATAAGCCCATTTCAGAAATCGGCAGTAAAATTAGGTAAACAAAAACAAAAGGGTCCAGTCAAGTACAGCGAGAAGCCAAATGCAAGAAGCCTGCCAAGAGATTTCGAATCAGTCCAGTCCATCGCACATGTAAGAGCTAAACAGACAAGTAAGGTATTGAAATTGCAAACGCAATACAAATTACATCGACACCATCAACGAAACAGTACAGAACAGGTGAAAATCGAAACGAAAACCGCAACAGTTGCAGAGAGAAAGGAAAAAGAAAAAAGAAAAAAAAAAAAAAACTCAATCACCTGAGGGTGAAGGGCGATTCGCACGCCTCCGCCGGCGGTTGGTGGGGAGAGTCTTAGGTCCGAAAAGCAAGGAGAAGCCATTGTTACCTAAAGAGGCGAGAGAGGAAAGTCCGGCGCTAGTGTTACAGTAGTCATCGCAGGGCTCGAAGGCGAGGCAGGAGCTCATGAGGTCGTGAATATTGAATCCACGGAAGGAAGAAATGAATCCGGAATTGAATTGGGAGCTGAAGGTGGTGCATTTGGAGAGGAGCTTGCGTCTCCAGGCGCGGTGGGAGGATGTCGATCTGTTGGAGGAGTGGAAGAAGGGGGCATTGAGGGAATGGTGGGTGGAGCAGGAGGCGGACATGCAGGCGGCAACAAGCCAAGTACAGAGAGGAGATGCAACGGCGAAAGCAGCCATGGAAGAGGAGGAAGAAGAAGAAGAAGAAGAAGAAGAAGAAATGGCTAAAGAGGTGGCGGCGGCGGATGGATTGAAGGTTGCATTTGAATTCCTCCTCCTTCTTCTTCTTCTTCTTCTTGTTGGTGTTGCTCAGAGAAGTGAAGAAGCGTGTCGATGATGGCGAAAGCGTTGCAGAGGAGACGCCAAGTATTCGTTGCGAGAAATCTGAGTCGTCTGAAGCAAGAGAACGAGAACGACAAGTACTCTCGGAATAAACCTCAGCTACAGAAGATGCGCTCAAAAAATAAAAATAAATTTATTATGAGGATCTGTGACCAGAAATAATAATAATTATTTATTTATTATTATTTATTATTATTATTATTATTACGTTTAATATTTTAACTTGGTTCATTGATTTTTATTTGATTCATATTAGTTTCTTTATTTTTAAATATTTATTTTGGTTACTGTATTTTTTTTATTATAATTTCAACTCGACATTATATTTAATATATTAATTTTTTGAAATGTAACTATAATTTTATATAAAAGATTTTCATTGTTGGGTATATAATTTGTGTTAAAATTTTACCAATAAAATCAAAATATCACTTTAAAAGTGAAGGAACTAAAGTTAATATTTTAAAAGTATAAAAATTAAAAAAAAATAAATAGAGAATTAGATTAATTTAAATTAATATTTGAAAAATAGAGAGACCAAAACGAATCACAGTGAAATTAATGTTTTTTAAATTGTTTCGTTACTGTTGATTTTAATTTTTGCAAGAAAGTAAAAGATAATAATTTTAGAAAATAGAGATAATCCAATAAAATAATAATGCTGGCCACGTGGTGGAGCGGAGGCTTGTTTCAAGTTCGTCCCTTGTCACATTTCCGGTGTTTTTAGATTTTTCTTTTTCTTTTCACTTTTCCTAAAATAATATGGTTTACAAACTCCTTTGATTTTTTTTCCCATATATTTTTAACTTAAATTCATTTTATTCTGTTTAAAAAAAAATTATTCCAGTCCTTCTACTTTTGAAATGTTCATTTTAATCTACATGGTTTCACCTTCAAAATATTTTATCGTTAATTAAAATACCTATATTCGACTCAAAGGTCACGGGTTCAAATCTCCACTCAACAAAATCTTTTAGTATCATTCCAAGAAATATATTAAGTACTATCATGATAGAAAAAATTAGATAATATAAATAAAGAGATCAAACCGATAATGTCTATACTAGATTACTAGGAATAAAATATGCAGATAAAATTTCTCCTTAATTTGCCCTTCTATTTCGAAGTCCATTTTTTGTATGGTCTCCAATGCCAAAATATCCATTTTTTTAGGATTCATTTCATTTTTAAAAGTTTTTAATAGTTTCGTCCCAAAATTGATTTTAGGTCTTGTTTACCCATCAACATGAAAATCAATCGAAATAAAAATGTTATTCCTTTGATGGTTTTTAGTATAAATTTTCTATAATTAATATTATTGTACTAATATTATTTAATTAAAATGAATAATAAATTTATTTATTTTATTACTATTTTATTGATAGCAAATATTTTATTAAACAGTAGTGAGTTAACAGAAAAGAAATATAGGGTACAAATTGCAATATTTGTATAAATTTAGAGTTGAATTTGATAAAATTGAAAATTTACGTTAAAATTTGATCCAACTCGCCACATTTAAAGATAAAAAATTATTTTTTTTTTCTCTTTTTGATTATATTCCAATTTCTAAGTTGCAGTGGGCATTGGCTACTAATTATTAAATCTATGACTACAAAATAGATAATTTTTTGGATTCATAGGTTGCCAAATTTTCCTTCAGATTATTGGCTACCAGAAAAAACCAAATTAATCCAAATCTTTCCAACCGATTTTTTTTTCAATTTCAATAATACTTAAAAGATGGAGATTCGAACATCTGACTTGTAAATATATATGTCTCGACCATATTCAGATCCACATTAAATTAGTTTTTATCATCTTAAATTTATTTGGTGGCAAGAAATATTTCTTTTACGTGATAAAATTGTATGTACATATATTTTATTTTAATTCTACTGCATTTAATAATTCTTCTTTAGACTTTTTACTCTTCCATCTCATTTAAGATACCATCTTATAGGGTTTTTTTTTTCTTAATGCCACGTGTTATAGGTATTTGGAGGATGGTTTTTTATAATATACATAAAATTTGGCGACATTAATTCAACTACCAACTTCAGCTCAATATATTTAAAATTAAAATTAAAAAATAAAAACAAAACTTCTTCAGCTCAATATTTAGAAATAGGTAAGTTGGCAGATTGATAATTTTACTTTTTCTTTCCAAACAAAAACTCAAACATTGCTAAAGCGAGCGTAGCTCAGTGATAATTGACATGTACCTCCAACCAAGAGGTTGACAGCTACACCAAAACAATTAATGTTATCCTAATGGACAGTATCAGTACGACAAGAACATATATATATATATAAGAAACACATAGAACAATTAATACTAGTAAATTAAATTTTTAATTAACAAAACACACAATTGAAAAAAAAAATTGTTGACTTCATGCTTGATTCACTTGTCACGTGGATAACAATATCTTGCCATATTGACGTTTATTTTGTGAGCTTTTTTTATCCTCACTATAAAGAAAAGACTTTCCAATAGGAAGAAATACTTGGAAAAATCACCCAAAAGCCTACATAAGCTTAAATTTTATTATGATATCTATTATATTGTTTTAATTGCAGATAAAAGGTTGTTTTATTTATTTATTTATTTATTAGTACAACATGCGGGAGTGGGGGATGGAACTCACAATTTCTTGGTTTCTTGAAGATATATGCAAATTACCATTGAGTTATACTCACTTTGTAATTTTTTCTTTTATAATTTAATAGACTATTTAACAAAATATGATGTGATATGGCTGGTCCAGTTGTACTTTAGAATAATGCCTTTAGTGTTTGAAATCACAAACTCACATCTAATGAATCATGCAAGTGCATCAAGAATTTTCATTAAACAATTCGTGAATAATTAATTATGGGAAATAAAATCCTTTTTCTCGAAAAAAAATGTTGGAATTTATGAATAGAATTATTTTAATAAAAAATAAAAAATCACAACTTTTTATGAAATCATATGTTTCTCCTAAAAGTGATGTACTTTTATCAAAAGATATTACTTTACGTGAAAATATATAACTATTTGAATTGCACAGAAAAATCTTCCTTCAAAATTATCTTTTTGTATGATACCTTAATTATTAAAGGTTCGTTGAGTCACGTGGTGAAGTGTTGCATTCACATGTTGGTAATATGTCCTATCCCAAGAGATAATTGTTCGTGAAACTTGAGCATCATTGAGGGAACAAAATTGTTTTAAAAAAACAACACTATCGATGAGTTTGGATTGTTTGATTTTGTGTTTCCTTAAGTTTTCTATACATATTTATCTAACAAAGGAGGTAGGAAATAAAATAATTTTCTATGCAAAGTTTATGAACTATAACATCATACTTAAACAAGGAACTAAAATAAAATATTTTAAAATATGTAAACTAAAACAAAATAAGTAGCAATTTAGAGACAAATAAGGTTTTTTTATCAAATATACATCTAGTTATCTCATGAACAGACTGCAGTTAAATTATAAATTTATTGTGTGTGTATATATCAGAAAGAACTTCAATTATGCCAATTCAAACTTAACTGTTAAGGCATGTATCGCTGATCAAAAAGTCGTGTGTTTGAACCGTAAAAAAAAAACTTCAATCATATCTTTAAACTTTAAATCTATGATTTTGTCCACATCAAAATTAAATCTTTTTCTTTCTAGTAAAGAAAGAAAATTGAATTTATTTTTTATTGCATCGTCGAAGAGTTCATCGCTCCTTATTTCTCAATTTCTCATTAATTTATTCAATAATTGTTTGATATATTTCTCTAAATCAGTTTCTAAATAGAACCATAATTCAAAACTGATAGACACAATTAAATTTTTCTAAAAAATAATTGATTAAATAATCACGAGCTAGTTTATGAAATAATTACATAACCACCAAAACTAGTCCAATTTCTACTCCCTCGTGTTGATTTATTTTTTCATTATTGATTTTATATAAGAAGAAGAGAAATGTAATTATTTGATTATTGGGCAGAAAATGAGGCAAAAATGGGGCCCTCCGGCGGCGGTCCACCAACTCCCACCGGCCACCGGCCACCGGCGGGTGGATAGCTCGCCCGTTTACCCACCAAAATCCAACCGTCCATTCCACTGCGTTGATAACGAGAAGGAAAATTATAACTTTAATTAAATATAAAAAAAAAAGTCAAAATAGAGCCTTTCATTAATGCTTCAGTCCCAAAATAAATTAATTACATAGCTTCCTATTTCAGGACTTAATTCCATATTTATGAATGTTTTTAATTTTGGGGTTTGAGTTATTCTTGATAGAGGGTGGAGATTTGGTGTAAGAAATTTCAAATTAATTCTGTTATCACACGAAAGTGAATTACGTGAATTATTTGAAATCTTACGTTATTTAATTTATGACAAAAATAATTTATTATTTCTTTTGTCAATATAAGTTTAGCTCATGGTATTTGTGTTTGACAACGAGGTAATGAGTTTGAATTTTCAATCCTACTAAAAAAAGTAATAATAATAAGATAATTGAAATTTTTGGTAAATTATTTATTTTACCTTGTCATATTTTAATTTATCACCAATAATTAATTAAAACCGCCTATATGTGAATTTTAATATATTTTTTAGTAAATAGGTGGAAGATCGAACTCAAAACCATTTGATTTGAGATATATGTTAATTACCACTGAGTTATACTCGCTTTTGGCATGTGAATTTTGATATTAATTAATAAGAACAAGCATACAAGTAATTGGGTAGTAGCTTTCTTAAAAGCAGGCTAATCACACACGCAAACACATACAATGACATGATTTTTAGCATGATTCATAATAAAAATGCATTTATTTATTAAGACGTGAAGTTTTCATATAACTTATATGACCATCACACTCTTACTAACATAACATAATGTATCACATAAGTATGTAGTACATGAAAAATATGTATACGATAGGTACCAGAGTACCTACCCTTTGTATTATTGTTTATTCTATATTTATAAATAATTCTTTAATATTAGTAGATCCCAAATTCTTTAATATTAGTAGATTCTACGTAATTGATCCTAATCCTAATCCCGTATAGTGCTCTAAAATTTTCAAAAAAAAAAAACCCCCCTTATCAAGAAACTTTAGGGCATGCCACTAGAAGCATGTTAAACCTCTCCCAATATTTTCAATAATATTATATTATATCATAGCGCATGCCATAGATGCAAATAGCAAGAGATGTACATGAAAAAAAAAATTATAAAATAGAAAATAAAGAAAGAAACAGAAATTTTGGTTTGTTTTTATATTTAAAAAAAGTAAATTCACGAAAAAATAAAAATACAAAATAAAGAGGCAAAAACGTCATCATAAATGCCTTAAAAAATGTATTATATTAAAAAAAAAAATATATATATATATATATATATATATATATATATATATATAAGATTTAGGTAACCATCTCGTGATTTTGTAATTTATCTCAAAGCTTTATAAAGCAGCTTTGTTCCCAAAACTCCCTTCCCCCTCCCCGTCCTGGTTGTTGATCCTAGCAAAAGGTTAGAAAAAACTCGATAAAGTATATCCATTTTAAAATTAAAATCTAAATACTAAAATTCTTACAAACTAGATCCTGGGTTCTTGATTAAATTCGTTGTCAAAGAAAAGAAAAACATTTTACTCCACTTTCTTCTAAAGTTGCCATATCGATAGTAACATCTAATAGCAATTAAATAAACGTGACCAAAGTCCATTTCAATCTAATTTCATTTTCAATCATAGTACAGAGGGAATTCAATGGAAAAGGAAAATGATAGGCTAATATTTTTCTTCTGGTCATGTTGTACTAAAGAATGTAATTTTAATTTTTAAAAATTATGTTTCAAAGACTAATATTCAAAATTATTGTCATTTTTCTGTCTTTATAGAAGTAAACTTTTTCTTTCTTTTTGATAGAATAGCATTTTCATCAATGTTCTTGAGAAAAGAGAAAAAATAAACAGAAATGAAAAATTATATAAAAAAGAATCAATTTAAAAAATGTGTCTTTAGGAAAATAGGAAATGTCAACAAATGCAGCAAAAGGAGGCCCTAAATCAACAGCCCAAGTGGTCCTCACTCCTCACTGAGTTGTATGATTAACAATGGAAGAACCCTACTTGGATAAATTGTTGATAGAGTACCAGATCCTCAATAATAGCAAAAATACAAAATAATAACAATAACAAATTATCCATCTTACTTCATGGGGGTAAGGCTCTTTTCAAACTGTGGGCAGATTTGAAAGGAGAGTTCTTGTGCAGAGGATGGAAGGAGAGGGTATAATGGTAATTTACATGAAAAAGCAAAAAAAAAAAACTTCCAAAACCATTTGTATATATACTTTGGAGTTTTCAAGGGTAAAAATACATCTATACAAGGAAGAGTAAAACCAGAACATTTCTTGTAGAACTACAGCCTTAACCAGCAGTCTACTAATGGAAATTGATAGTCATTCAGACTCATCAGCTATAGAAGAGAGTTGGGAACAAATCTTACTCATTCAGACTTGACAGAGGAGATCCTTCTAGGAGTACACAGTTTCATTTTCCAGCTTACTCGGCTTGCAACGCAATCCTCATAAAACCGGGACTGTTATTACACCTTCTCATGCTCAGACAGCAGCGTCGAAAAGAGACATGCCTGAATGAGGAAGAATGATATGCAGAGTGGGGTTAGAAACAGATGCAATTCAAATACTTTTTGGTTGATTCAATCAATAATGATAATAATAGAGGTGCAGTACAAGGCTCAGGTACTTCGCTTGACAAGGAAACTGGAAAACAAAAACAACTACGTTGATCAAAACAGAAGTTGTTCAAGCCATCTTGGATAAGTTAGTCAGTCGATGCGTTTCAAATGATGCTCAGAATCTAGACATGATATTTTCTCAAGCAAGATAAACTTTGTCAATGATAGTATTTTTTAAGGCCTGCTGGAATAGACTTATCTCAAAGGCTGAGAAAGCTAAGTAAATAGTTCATAAATAAGCTAAACTGTATTAGTTCCCAGTCATCTACGTAATTGAAAATTGCCAGGGTGTTTTTCTAAAAACTATTCTTCCTGTGACAATTGTTTTTAAAATTAAAAAGAAAAGGTTAAATTACACATAATCCATAAACTTTTAAGGTTGTGCCTATTAGATTCTTAAATTTTAAAAAGTGTTTAATAGATCCCTAAACTTTCTAACTTTGTATCTAATAGATTCTTGAACTTTAAAGTTTCTAATACGTTCCGGAGTTTCAATTCTATGTCTCATAGATTCTTCAACTTTAAAAGTCTTTAATACGTCTTTGAACTTCCAATTTTGTAAAAATTTTGTAAAAGGTCACAAACCTATTAGATACAAAATCAAAATGCTAGGGTTGTATCAATTTTGTATTTAATAGGTTCGTGAATTAAAAAAAAAAATTCAAATAAGTCAATAACCTGTTAAACATAAATTGAGAGTTCAACATCTATTGAACTTGTAAAGTTGATCTATTAGATACAAAATTCAAAATTGAAAGTTTATGACATGCTTTTAAAGTTTAATCCTATGAGACACAACTTTGAGGGTTGAGGACTGAGGATGAACTTGTAATTTAACCAATAAAAAAAAAAATTGCTTCCAAAAACAACTTATGGACAAATTTTTTGAGCCAAAAACTATGCTCTACTTTCATATTGAAAACAGTCTTCCCAAATATTCCCAAACAAGCTACCCTTTTCACTAATGTTGTCTTTGCAAATTACAGTGTAGCAAATATCATTTACATGCCACTTACACACCAAAAGCCAATTGACAATTTACTGGATCCTCTTACATTTCATCATGACAATTACTCTTTACTTGACAAGTCCAGATTCAGTGATATGCTAATTCGAACTGTACACACACTATTTGAACCTTGAGATACTGAAAGACCAACTACTACATAAAGATATCCAGCTAATTGAACGACAAATAAATGGTTTAGCTAACGCCACTTATTCACCACAATCCCAGTCAACCGCAAATATTTCCTATTCAACACCTAACTTTTGTTTGTTTTATTTATCCCTTGACAAAGCTTTTGTTTCATTATTGTTAAAGTGGGCATACATCAGCAGCCTAATGCAATGGTTTCTTTAATCAACTTACCTCAACCCAAAGGGTTAGACACTTGAGACCGTTGCTCTTCGATCAAAGTTTGAACTCTCTGTAGCAGACACAAGTATACAATCAGTAATATAAAAGAAATCAATGATACTTTTTATAAACAAACAGATACCTATAATTAGTTGTTACCTTTACAGAACTTCCAACCTCCTCTACTTTCTGAAGTACTATTTCCCCTGAATAAATATATGGGTCGTACTTTTGAGATTTTGATGGGGATGCCTGTGATTTATAAAGAAAAAAAGTCAATGTTCAGCATTTTACAGGCAGAAGTCTATTTGCAATTAAATGGAGGTAGAAATCTGTTAACTTTGCATGTAGGATGACGTGTGTGAACAAAAAGAAAATGACCTACCCTTGTATTCGGAGCTTCTTCAATTGTAGAAATTTGAGAAGAGTAGCCATCATTTCTCATACCAGAAAGACGCATTTGAACAGCCTGAAAAGTGCATAATGAGGGTGATCTTCTTTGATATAACTGGAAATGTGTTAATTAATATCACAAAGTACCTTTTTAAATGCGATTGGATCTGTAATTCCTTGAATTTGAACATCATCACTAGGTGGTCTTCTCATGCCAACATTCTCGATCCTAAGAGAGTAAACTCCATAGTGAGACTGCAGATATCCTGCAAACGTGAGATAGAGATCTTAAGAGCCAGAAGAACATACGTAAAGGTAAACAGAATAATACATCACTAAAAACACGCTCACAGAGGTAAAGTACTATTCAATACAAAAAAGAATATGCCATTTTCCCATAGGGTGGAAAATAAGAATTTAGGAGTAAAAAAATAGTAGACTTGTATACTTCCACTCTAAGAGAAGATACGGACATGGAACGTAACTATACCTCAAAAATTTATAACACAGACACAACAAAGACGTGTTGATTAAATTACGTTATCAAAAAGACATATTTGTATATGTAAAGAAATCTCAATTATAACCTACTATCCAATTCGTAAAATATCATATTTGAAAGTTGAAAACCGTTGCATGCCAACGTTTGAAAACATAAGGGTCAAAGATTAGAATGATCTAAAAAGTAAAGAAAAGGAAATCATATTCATGAAATGCTTTTTCTTTATTTCCTAAAAAGAATGCTAGAAGAGATCAATCATGCATTTTTTATAGTCATCTCTATTGAAAGACACAACCTTCAACTTGTATCAAACAAAGAGTGAAAGTTAAGTAAGAAAAAGAAAGTTGATACATGAGAAAGGTATATCAGAAAGAACGTAACCGTGTATCCAAAATGGTGGGAGAAAAAAAAAGTGATGGTCCCTCAGGTTGTCCTCACTATAGGTTGCCATGAGCATGTCCTAGAATGTGGAGCTATGTCCTGAGCAACAACCAAGCCATATTCAAGTAAATCAGGAACCTCAGGGCATACTGAATATGTATCTGGTGCATCTGGGGAGTCCATAGTCTAGATGAGTCCCGTAAAGAAAGATTGACCTTAGAAAATAAACTGTGCTTCCTTGCTTCCACCAATTCCTTACAAGAGGAGAGTTGTTTGCTTCCACTAATGATACCAAAACAATTATAAAAATCCACTTCCATAAATTAATTGGAGCAGCAGCCTAACATAACCCAGGAGAAACATGTATACCCCTTCTGATGTTTGGACAGCTTGTCTTCGTAGCCTTAATACTTCAGAGGGGTTATTACTTGTTAGTTCAGGCAAGAATAACATCAGATTGTCTACTAGGCCTTAATAAAGTTTTATTTCAGGTAACAATTTATTCTTTCATTCTATAAAGACGTGGAACAATGTCAGCAGGTTATTTTACAATAATGCTCCAATATTTTTAACACTTGCAAGCAATTCGGAACTGGTGATTTTTGAACCACCCAACCCCTAAACCACATTTAGAGTTTCCTACTTCCGAAAAGGCCTTTCCAACCAAAAACTATTTCATGCGGCAGCATTCTCACTCGATACCTTATAGGACAAACCAGTTTCCTTCATCCTTTGAGTACAAATTCAGGACCATCCCTTCAGAAAAACTATCCACTTACAGATGAAGGAAACAGGTTTGTACTATTGGATAGTCCTAGAATAAGTTTCTTTTTGATTCCCCATTGAACCACCGCTGACCTTCATGTTCCTCTTAAACAACCTAAGTGGGAAAGAACTCATCACTTGATTCATTTTGGAATTATTCCTTAGACAACAAATCCAACTCAGCCCCATTTCAGAACTATTTTGAGACTTCCCTCCGTCTTTCTGAACTTCAAGTTTAATTTTGCACTGCATTCTTGCCAACCTTTAGCCCATTGGTTCTTCAAAAGCTTTCTGTCATGGCTTATCCCCTTTATTCTTCTAGGATCAATTGGACAAGGACTCATCTTCATCACAAAATTAAAGGGTTGCCTCTCTTGAGAAAACGTTGTGTAATCTGGCCATTCATCAAACCCAGAACTTCAAGTTTAAAGCTACTCACTAAGACAATCGCCAATTTCCATAAACATTTTCAATTTCAACTTCTTCAAAAACAAAGCCACAATAATTCTCCTTGATCATAGCATATGCCTTCATACAATATATCATCTTAACAATCTTCCCGATGCATTAAATGAGGCTTCCACATCTTCCACCTATAATAATAATGAGGTTCTTGAAATTCCACATAGATGGAAGTTAACTTACATACTTGTATTGATCCTCAAGCAGAATCACTGAATGTTTCATACGAGGAGAATCATTCCAAGCTTCAAACTTAACCCTAGAATCTCCTGCGGTAGCCTAGTCATAGTTTGGACAGAGGAGCCTTGGTTCCTACTTATTGGTCGAGCCTTGCCCCTTCCTATAGGATGAGCCTTGCCTCTTTCTTACTGGAGAACCATTCCTCTTCCTTACTGGCCAAGGGGCCTTACCTCTTCCTAATTGGTGCATCTCTAGCCTTATCTCCAAGAATACATTAAGCATTCCATCCTCATGAAAAAGTTCCTTCATAGCCTCCCAAATTTTATTTCAATCATCAAGGGAACAAAATCTTGGTACCACTATTGCCCATAACCATATCATAAATTAGATTTTCCATGGGAGGTAGAATGCTTTCAAGTTCCTCTTTTCCAACCTTCAAGCTATTACCACTTCTATAAAGGAATAATGATCCTTAGTGCTTCCTTTAAACATCGAAGTGTTCTGCAAGAAATAAAAAATCACCCATAAAATGACCTCCATCCTAACTCCCATCCATGTAAACAGGATAAAAATTGCCTTTTTTAGCCAGTGTTCATCAACCATAAAACTTCAACAAATTACTCTTGTTTGTGGATTTCCAAAGCTAAAGTATTCTGGTTAGCCTCCTTCCTGAAAAAAATTTGACTCGGTGAATCCAGGAAGCCAACAGGAATCCAACAAATCTTGATGCAATACCTCCAACCGTTCCAATGTTTTTAGCTCAACTAAAAGGAAGCACCCGCAAACCTACTTGACTCCTCTAAGCGAAATTTCTTCCTCCAAATATTAAAATCAAAGTGGAATTATCATTAATAAGCAGCAAGCAAAGTACAGTACCACACAGGAGAATTTGAGAGCTTCTCTATCTCTCCCAAACTGCTACCTACTACTCCTAACTTTCTTCACTTCCCTTTATAACAAAAATGCACTCATTTCCTCACTTAGTTATGAGGGCCCATGCTAACCATCTATCTTCTAACTAATTCCCCACATGTTCTGCCCCCATAAGGGCAGGCCTATTAATACCCCATACCAAAAGAACTAATCGTGTCCTTTGGGCAAAAATTAGGCAATAGGTCAGAGATGCAATCAGGTAGAATCAACTGTAGATTTGCCTTTTCATAACTGCTAACCTCCATATTATAAACATTAAACACTACCCCATCGTAAATACTCATGTTAGGAAGGGACCACATTTAGCATTTCTCCAAACTATTTCCCACCACTTGTTGACCCCAAAATTACCTTTTTACCTTCTTAGTGATGCCTATCATAAAGTGATAAATCTCTTACTCTATATTCTATACATATGTGTCCAATGGCCAACCGTGTTTTCAATTTAACTATCCATTGTCACACCATGCTAGCCTGAGCACACTAACGCAGGATAGAGAGAGACTGAGAGAGAGAGAACTTTGCAAACTTTGCAATACTCAATTATAGTTCCATGGTATATAGGTAATCTTAATACTCAC